AAAAATGACAAACTTGACCTTTAAAAAAATATTCATTGTATAAGCAATTAATGATGTACCAAGACAGGTATGAAATGCCTGATACACTCCTACGACCTGTGGTACATCAGCACCAGTGCACACGTCTGTGCCTTACACACATTAGGAAGAAACCAGAAGGAAGAAAAAAAATATGTATGTATTTGAGGTTTGTTTTCAAAAACAGTGTTAATGTTCTGTCACTTAACCATTTGGCCAAGTGCCAGATCAGAAAATCTGAACCGAACTGACTAAAAGGGTGTCTATGTTTTCTGTAAGCACTGTACAGATTGTACTGCACTTTTTACAAGATGTTTTATTATATTCCAGATACTTTAGTCATGATATTACCGAAACTTGTAGAGCTGGATTTTTTCTGAGAAAATGATGAAATGACCTCCGAGGTTTTTGAAGGAGGCTAGGAATGAAAAATTCTTTAATGCCTTTATGATAAAACCAGAACACATTTATTCTGAAAGTGATTTTGTACATTGGAATAAATAAAGGAAAGGTTTAAAAAAAAATCTAAAGTGGTTCTTAATTTATTGAACGTCAGATGATGAGACACCTCATGTTTTAGAACAGGAGTTTTTCCATTTCCCTTAGAGAAATACCATTGCTCAAATTCCCCTTACAAATTTAAATCATTTTAGACCGCAGCTGTTGAATTCTTGAATCTGATTGGTCAGAAGGTGTTGATTCATTTTCTCTAACAGCAGTTCTGTGTGTGTTCATGACCAGCAGGGGGTGACTCCTTACCACACACTCAGGAATATTTCAGGTCAATATTAAAGAAAAAGCAGGTTTTTAATGATAAGCTGCAGTTTGGAAATAATAATAATAATAATAATAATAATAATAATAATAATAATAATAATAAATTGCGATTCAGTATGTCTTTTTGCTGTTATGTTAAACAGCATGCTATTACAGGTCAAGTGATTTAACCCATGACATACATTATATTAAACCTTATTATTCGAGAGGAAATTTGAAGAACTGTGAAAATTGTGAAAATCTTATGACTGAAAAATGGAAACCGAATACTTCAGTTGAAATGCGCATGTGGATTTTTTCCACTTCCCTCAGAACTCCATTCTTCCTTCTTCCTTTTTTCTGTGATGATGAATTGAGATGATTCAAGAAATGCCCAAATGTTGTCTGTGTGCTTTTCCTGCTATATTACCTCCCCAACAAAGTGTTTTTAGACAGTTAGTATTATTAGTCCATGACCTAGTGAACCAGGATCAGGCGGTATTTGTTATTGATGTGTTCGTTGATAAATGCCATAAATGTAAAATGTAAATGTAAATGTAAATTATTAAAATTAAAAAAAGGATTAAGCATTGAGTTCTGAAGCCAACACCTTTCAGTCACAAGTTGATCATTTTGGTTATGATAAGTCACCTTAAGTTTTTAAAATTTTTAAAGATCACAGGTGAGGCTAAAAAAAAAAAAACTCACTGGAAAACTTGAGTCAGTACTGAACACATCACAGGTTGGTGTTATTGTGTCATAAATACATCAAAATGTTTAATCACCCATGCATCGCCCAATATTGTGTAGGTCCCCCTTGTGCCGCCAGAACAGCTCTGACCCATCAAGGCATGGACTCCATAAGACCTCTGAAGGTGTGGTATCTGGCACCAAGATGTTAGCAGCAGATCCTTTAAGTCCTACAAGTCGCAAGGTGGGGGCTCCATGGATCGGACTTGTTTAGGTAGGTGGTGTGTGTCAAGTAACATCCACATGAAGGACCCAAGGTGTCCCAGCAGAACATTGCCCAGAGTATCACACTTCCTCCACCAGCTTGCCTTCTTCCCATAGTGCATCCTGGTGCCATCTCTTCGCCAGCTAAGCAACACACGTGCACCCAGCCATCCACATGATATAAAAGAAAACGTGATTCATCAGACCAGACCACCTCCTTCCATTGCTCTATGGTCCAGTTCTGATGCTCACATGCCCATTGTAGGTGCTTTTGGCAGTGGACAGGGGTCAGCATGGGCACTCTGACCGGTCTGCGGCTACGCAGCCCCATAAGCAGCAAGCTGCGATGCACTGTGTGTTCTGACACCTTTCTATCACAGCCAGCATTAACTCTTTCAGCAGTTTGTGCTACAGTAGCTCTTCTGTGAGATCGGACCAGACAGGCTAGCCTTCTCTCCCCACGTGCATCAATGAGCCTTGGGCGCCCATGACCCTGTTGCTGATTCACCAGTTGTCCTTCCTTGGACCACTTTTGGTAGTCTTTTGGTAGGTACTAACCACTGCATACCGGGAACACCCCACAAGACCTGCTGTTTTAGAGATGCTCTGACCCAGTCGTCTAGACATCACAATTTGGCCCTTGTCGAAGTTGCTCAGATCCTTACGCTTGCCCATTTTTCCTGCTTCCAACACATCAACTTCTAGAACTGACTGTTCACTTGCTGCCTAATATATCTCAACCCTTTACAGGTGCCAGTGTAACGAGATAATTAATGTTATTCACTGCACCTGTCAGTGGTTTTAATGTTATGGCTGATCGGTGTATAAACATGCCAAGTGAGCACAAGGTCATCTAGATTTTAGCCAAAGAAAATATATAGCATAAGAAAATATATCAAGAAAAACATCTTCCTTTTATTCACTTATTTTTTTTGTTTTTCCTAATCATAGTTGCAAGGAACATTTCACAATTCTTCATTTAACATTTACAGTAAGCCTTGAGGTTGTGTATTTGAAAGAAATAAACGTATTTTTTATTATTAATTCAACAATGCATGTGTGTTTTGAGATGAAAATGTGAAAGTGTGGAACAGCAGAACACCATTCAGTGCCAGAGAATTACCACACACACACACACACACACACTCTCTCTCTCTGCAGGCAGGTTTGTCTCACAAATGAGAAGTGAGAAGTTGTGGCAGCCTATTTCTGGTCTCTATTTACAAGAAAGGAGAAGAGAAGAAGTATGTTAATGATTGTGTCTATTTCTGTGCTGAATGTGAAGTAAAGGAGGATTTAATTTTAATTAAAAGAATAAATGCTTTTTTTTTTTTAATACCTGCATAGAGTTTAGACTTCAAGGCTACATTTCACTTGACTTGTTAAATAACACTGTATTTTATGAAGGGCTTCTTATTAGTTGAGTAGAAAAGTTGCAATTAAAAGTAAACCATTTTTGTGCTTCATCATTCATGAAAGGTCTTAGGTTTGGTTCATTTCATTTCATGAACAGTAACTTTCCAAGATGAATCAGTGTGATGTAAAAATAAATTTAGACTTCATGAATATTGGGGGCGAGGATCACGCCTCCACTCTGTATGTGGAATTTGCACGTTCTCCCAGTGCCTCGAGGGTTTCCTCCGCGTACTCCGACTTCCTCCCTCAGTCCAGAGACAGGTGTTGTAGGCTGATGCGATGTAGGCTTTCCAAATTATCTGTATTGTGTGAGTGTGTGTGATTGTGCCCTGTGATGGGTTGGCACCCAGCCCAGGGTGTCCCCCACCTTGTGCCCTGGGTACCCTGGGAAAGGCTCCAGGCTCTCTCTGGCCCTGTGTAGGATTCGGGATGGATGAATGGAATATACCAGGTTTTTCTACTTTTTGAATATGTAAAAAGAAGAATCACAAGCAGGGGCAAAATGGAATTGACTACACACGGCCTCTAAGTTTTAATAATCTTAAGGGGCCTGAACTGAAAAAAAGAAAGTTGGCATTTTCAGCAGATAAGAATGAGGGCTACAGAAACTAAACTGGCACAAGATCTAGAAATGCAGGTTCTGTTTGTAGTCCATTTGCAAAAACTACAAATCCCATGGATCAACGCAGGTGGGGACAAATCAGAGACTGCTCTTTCATCCGGGAACTTCGCCTGTCAGTTTCCTGGTTCCCCAACTAACTGACGCAGATGATGTTCATTTCCATTAAAACACACATTAACATTAAGGGGAATGTTTACTGCCTGTAAGAGATACGGTAGTTAATGTTAGCCGCACGCTAACGCTAACTTGATAAGAAGGGACAAATTTTTAGCTTAGTTTTTAGTTTAAACCATGATTGTAACATATTTAGTCTAAAACCTATTGCTGCGTGAAAAGCTCAGACGTCTTTGACAGATGATAAATGACTAGAAACAGAGTAAATGTAAGCTATAAAAGAAAAGTGCCTGAAATGGGCAATTTACTTCCGGTGTTAAGATGACGCGGATCACCTCGGCATGTGATTGGATGTGTGCCAGTACGTCACTGATGATGAAATTCATGATTATTTCCTCTTTCCCGGAGATAAACTTCGTAATCTAATAGATAAAGTAAACACACAGTGTAGTCAGATTAGTCTGTTCATTTTCTTTCGTAAAATTCTTTCTGAAATGAGTTAAAAGGAGCAAAGGAAAGTTATTACCGCCGTTCAGGAAAGTATTAATTAATCTATTAATTAATAGTAATAGTAATAATAATAAGTTTGACACTTGTTAGTCATGTCGTCGAGTTCGTCTTCTTGCGTGGACTATGAGTCGATTCCAGCCATAGCTCTGAACTACAGCGTGAGAAAAAGACTGGCTCTGTATTTAAACCCTACGAACACGGTGGCAGCAGACTGGACCGAAATCGCCGAGAAAATGGAGTTCACCTACCTGGAGATTAAAAACTACGAGAAGCGAGAGAATCCCACCCAGAAGCTGCTGGAGGACTGGCAGACCCGCGCCGGGGCCACGGTGGGGAAGCTGCTGTCCTTCCTGGAGCAGGCAGAGAGGAAAGACATCATCTCAGACCTGCGCCCACTTATAGGTCACTTTTACTTATTTCTCTTCATGCATAGATCGAAAATCTGCCTCGTGCTTTTATGACATAAAAATAATCATAATAATCATAATCAAACATACATATCACGTATAGTATAATCTGAGTCACTAACATACTGTTAGGGCTGCATTGCGTTAGGAGGGTTATTTGTTTACAAATAAATTACAGATTATTGTGGTATGTAAGGGGCGGGGTTATGGTGGCTTAGTGGTTAGCGCTGTTGCCTCGCACCTCAAGGGTTGTGGGTTCGAATCCCACCTCTGCTATTTTATCCCCATGCTTTGGGGGTCTCCTCTGGGCAGTCCTGTTTCCTCCGTCTGACATAAGCTGTAGGCTGATTGGCATTTCCAAATTGTCTGTAGTGTGTGAATGGGAATGTGAACGAGCCCTGGAACCGGTTGTCACCCTGTCCAGAGTATCTCCCACCTTGTGCCCCGAGTCTCCTGAGATGGGCCCCAGGCTCGGTCAGTCATGCAGTGCACCATGTGGCAGCAGGGGAATGTGTTAATTCATGCACAGCTTCAGTTAACGTTCACATCAAACATGAGAATGAGGAAAAATGCAGTCTTTTTGGTGGCTAGTTTGAGTGTTTCGGAAACTGCTGATCTCTCTCGCTGGGATTCTCTGAGATTTTCCACGCACAACAGTCTCTATACAGAGTGGTGCGAAAAACAAAAAAACATCCAGTTCTGCAGGCAGAAATGTCTTGTTCATGAGAGAGCCTTGTCAGAGGAGACAGGAAGGTAATGGTAACTCAAATAACCACTCTTTACAGCCATGGTGAGCAAAAAAGCATCTCACAAAGCACAGCACATCAAAGTTTGAAGCGGATGAGCTGCAACAGCAGAATACCATATCAGGTTCCACTCCTGTCAGCAGAGAGCTGCAGTCTGAGGCTACAGTGGATACAGATTCCACCAAAACTAGTCCAGGTGACTAGTTTCTTTTCAATCTTCACCTGTCCAGTTTACATTTTTCCCATTCTGATGTTTGAACATTAAGTGAAGCTCTTGACCTGTATCTGTATGATTTTATGATCATGAATTGCGCCACTGCGAAACGATTGGCTGATTGGATAATTGCATGAGGGTACAGGTGTTCCTAATAAATTGGTCTGCGAGTGTAGGTAATGATTGCCTAATCTGCACATTTTTAATCACAGAATTTGTAGTTATGTATTTTTTCAACAGGTTTCAGGCTGATATGAGTAAAGCCTTTTCTGAAGATTTGGTATCTGACCCTAAATGTATAAATAATGAAGGTTACATTTGTTTATTCACTTATTCTGTGGAAAAAAATGGAAAAAATGTTCTTTTTTTTAAATAAAAAATTATGATGCATTATTCTTTTAAAATAAAATAAAAACAGTAGGTTTAGGCAAGTTGCTGTGGTATAAGGGAAATAAAAATTGTGTGCTCCTATAGAAAAATAATCGAGGACGGTGGGGTACCTTGGAGTTGTACGGTTCTACGTGTAATTTTATAACAAAGTTTTGACCCTCAATAAGATCAAAGCAAGTACAACTTTTCAGTGTCATATTTTTTATATTACTTATATGCATTTGATCACATCTAAATAACCTGTTTATAACATGAACTAATTTTTGTCCAAAAGGTCAGACTCTTACAGTTCCATGATCTTAATTTGTGGCTACAGCATAATAAGGAGATGTTTTCCTTTCTGTGTGCAGATGACAACTGCAGGAAGTATCTAGAGAGGCAAAAGGAGCTTCCTGTTCAGGTGCCCGAGGTGGACAGCAGGCACCAGGATCGAGGCATCACCGTAAATGACGGTTTGTAATTTCAGCACAGCTCAGTGTTTTGTTTTTTTTTCTGCTTCATAGCTAGATTTAGCTGGACGTCACCAGGCTTCACTGGACTTTGGACCGTGTAGGACTAGATAGCGGTTTCCTCTGATAAAACTCTTCTGATCGATTTTGTGAGAAGTGGAAAATAATCAAAATTCAAATATTGTGATTGTGAAAATGGCTTTAATTTGTTTACTTCCTTGTCCTGATCTTGTGTTCAGGTCACATGCCGGAGATGTTCGACGCTTTCATTTGCTACTGCCAGAGTGACTTCCAGTTTGTCCATGAGATGATCAGACAGCTGGAGCAGACTGAATACAACCTGAAGCTGTGTGTGTTTGACCGTGACGTCCTGCCCGGGACATGCGTGTGGACCATCACCAGCGAGCTCATCGAGAGAAGGCAAGGCTCAGATGCTTACGAGGCTTCATCTCCAGGCTCTAGACTTTGAACTCATTTGGTTAATGGCAGGCTTTTTTTTTTTTTAATAGTACGTTAAATGGATGAGACGTGATGAGATGTAGAGAAATCCTGACAGTTTGTTTTTCAGGTGCAAGAGGATGGTGGTCATCATTTCTGATGATTACTTGGAAAGCGACGCTTGTGACTTCCAGACTAAATTTGCCCTCAGCCTTTGCCCAGGTCTGTTTCTAAATATCAGTTTTGCCTGACTGTTGATGTGTTTTGAAATAAAATTACTTTACTACATATCTAGTCACATAGACACACTACAGCTACAGTTTATTGTCTATAGTGCTTTCCAGCATTTTATATTTCTCACTCTTTTCTTTAAAATAGAAATATATGCACCTCATGGAAACTTCCTGTGGCTGCTTACCACTTCCTGCCATGCTTTGTCGTGTTGTTTTGATCTTATATTTTTTTCCACACAGGGGCTCGGACCAAACGGCTGATTCCTGTGGTCTACAAGCCCATGACGAAGCCTTTTCCCAGCATTCTGCGTTTCCTGACAGTGTGTGACTACACCAGGCCATGCACACAGTCCTGGTTCTGGGTTCGACTGGCCAAAGCCCTGTCCCAGTCCTGAACAGCGTACATCCAGCTCGCTCACTGCCACAACTGTAATTATTGTTTACATGCACTGCTACACGTCCTGAACATTTCTGGTTTCAGTTATTACAAAATTAATCATCTTTTTCTAGCTGCAGAGCCTGGTTCTTTTACTGCAGAAGTCACAGCTGTTGCCAAATTGATGTCTTTTTTTATAGTTAATTTTAAAATTTATGTTCAGTTCAATTAAGTGAGATATATATATATATATATATATATATATATATATATATATATGTGAGAGAGAGAGAGAGAGAGAGAGAGATTGAATTGAACAGATAATGTGTTCTAGACAGATACAGATACAGAAACGCTGATGGACTGCTGGAAATTCACTTGGAAGCTTTTTACTTCCTTGTGGGCAAACAGTCAGATATGAAGCTCGCGGGACAAAGAAAGACCACGTTCATTAATGTGAACGTAAACAATGCATTTTAAAATAATTAAAAAAATAATAATAATTGCAAGAGCTGGAATGAAAGAAAAAGAAAAAAAAACTTTCTTAAGCTACGGCCACTCGGGTTTTTAATCTGAATACAGATCCACAGATACGAATATTTGGAGCATTAAACAAATACAGATAGTGTGTATATGTCCAAAAGTATGTGAACACCTGACCATCACACCAATATGAGCTTGTTGGACATCCCATTCCAAAACCATGGGCATTAATATGGAGTAACCCATAATTTTTGGCGATTTATATATATATATATATTATGACTTGACTGGAGGGAACAAGTGGGAAAATAGCTTCAGATTCTACTACAAATATGTGAAATCTGAGATAGTATATTAGTATATTATAGTTTTACAGCATATTTAAACTTCAGATATTATTTTGTCAATATTATAGTATAATTTTCTGAGTTTTATGAGTTTTTTCCACATCAATAAGAATGTGAAATATCTTTTCTGAAAATACCAAGTTATGGCAGTTTATGAAATACTCATCCAACATCCCTTCCCCAGTAGGAGTGTAAAATGTCATAAAAGTTTTATATCAATAAATAGCGGAAATAAATAATACTTCATCACAAAATGTGACTCAGCGCTAATTTATGGCTTATGCACTATTTATAACAATCTGTATGATTTCAGAACTGTGTTTTTCTTTTGTTTTTTTTTGAATACTTATACATGATATACAACTGATTTGTCCCAGGAACAGAAAACTATAATTATTATTGAAAATCATTCATTTCATACTAATATAGTCTATTATTGTGTAGAAAATATATAAGAAATTGAATGATTTTTCTTCTGTCTTTCAGAGCTTGCTTTATTGATGATTATCGCTGTACTCTGGCAAAGCTCTGTTTTTATATTCTTTTTTAAACTTTACATCCATAAGAAATATTTTATTCCTTTTGTACTCTGTTTAACTGGATCCTTTCTTAATAAAAAAAAATCTGTTGCATGAACAGATGTTTGTAATGAAATTATTATTTTATATATAAAATATAAAATATAAAAAGAGTATAACATGAATAACAGAAGCACCCAGACTCCAAAATAAAGATTATTACAACAAAATAAAAAAAGAAAAGAAAAATGCAACAGTTTGGTGATGTCAGTGGGTCACCGGCTTGATGTAGCTATTGCAAGCAAGCGATATGCAACCAAATATTTACTTTAATAACTGTTCCATTACTTTTGCTTGCCTAGAAATTGAGTAGTCCACCACAAAAGGTGCCATGTTCTAAGTTATTTAACATATCTAGATGTAAACATAAGGAAATGGAAGCTGAAATTGCGATCTCTCGTCTCATATTCATCTTTTGATCTCAAACCCAAATGTATTCAGTGTATAGCAAAAACAAGAGGATTGGCCTTGCTGTTCCAATACTTTCGGAAAGGGGATTGTATTGAACACTAAAGATTAAAGTGGTTAAAGTGCCACTGCAGTGATTTTGCTGCATTGTGTTTGCAGGCAAGTGTTATAGCATCATAAAACATAAAAGCCAGTCAGATTCCTGTATGCAAATGGAAGGCCATGTGACACCAGGTTACAGGGGAAAGATCAAAGAAACTTTGATTTACTAATAAAAGTGTAGACACTAATATACATTTATTTTCTGTTTTCTAAAAAAAATGCAATGTATTATTTAATTTAGCAAATGATTCCAGATTTAAGGAGCATCAAAACTTTGAGTATAAGCTGATACCCATACCCATCTGATATTGCTTTCTTTAAAAACTATTCAGCTTTAAAATGTTGTTTAATTGAAACAATTCACAGTGTAAAGTGTAAATATTAAAAAAAATCCTAACAATAGAAAAAAACAGCCAAGTCTCTTTACAGTTTAATTACATTTAGTCTGGAACACAGGCTGTTGAATGGATGTTGCTGTGTAGTATACGTAGTATGTAAATATTTCTTTCAAT